TATACGGCTAAATCTTGCGCAGTCTTTTCGTATTTATGCAAAATATGACAGTGGTCACCATCCTAATCGGTCACATAAGATACAGCAGTATATAAGCTGGTGGTGTCGACTAGACGCGTGTATAGGAATGTAGAGTGTCAACATGTGATGTTGTATCTTGTGCTGTTTCTGAGTGCGTTGATGTATAAAATGCTGTGATGTCTGTATGTCGCGTATGAGTAAAGTGTGGCGTGGGATATGTACATACGGCATTGTCTGGCGAGGCGCTCAGAGCAAGAATTGCTGGTTTCTTTTTTTCTTTAGCTTGAGCGCCGTCCGTTAGGTGGCGCGTGTCGCCGCCCGATTCAAGGAGTCGCGCGTTTGTGTCTACTTATTTGAGTGAAAAACATGGAGCCGTTCTATGGCTTCACGTAGCAGCCACAAAGGGTTCGGTCTGGTTCGGTTCTCGGCCTCTCGTCCAAATGGGATCAGTCCCATAGCCAGTTGAATGGGTGTTCCGTGCGGTGAATAGCGCCAAGTGCGTGCACAGACGCGGCGAGGATTACCAGGGACTTGAAAGTGGATGACGAATGTTAACAGGTGAGCAGGAGCGTTGAACGATCGGAACCGACGCCGCTTAAATCGGTGATGCTTCGCCTCGCCGCTGTCAACCGAAAACGCCGGATCACTTGCGGCAAGCACAGCAAGCAGATGCTCTGTTCAGTAAAGACATCATTCTATTTGTCGCTATTTGTTTCCTTCTTTGAATGTTTTCTGGCCGCGAAGTAAATGCAGCCGGCCTCGCGAAAGCAATCGCGGACAAACCCCCTCGAATGCGGTGTGGCGCTGCTGTTGGAACCGCGCATGCCCAGACGAATCTAATTTCTGCTCACGCGCAGTGCCCAGCCCTAGTGTAGGCGCCTTTGTTTGTGCCTGTTGGTGCACACGCACTAGCCCATGCCTCTCCCGTGAAGCTATTTCAACGTAAACGCATCGTAAATTCCCTATAAACATCGTTACGGAAGCAGCGAGTCTCGCAAGTCAGCCCATTAAAAGCGAAGGGCGCCATGTCCCCTGGCCGCACGTAACGTAACCCTTTTTTCTCCCCAAGAATCAAGCCCGCTGCAAACTAAAGCCCCCAAAGCAGCTCCCTAAAACGAGGGATATTCGACGCCCAACGAAAAAACCCGATCCCAAATTATTTCCCTCCCCAAACGAGAGATGAGTAAGATTGTAGTCCGCTTTAGCTTACGGCAGAGAAAGCAACGAACCTTCCGAGCCAATCCGAAGCCGCGCGAGTGTCACGTGCCCTTTGGGAGGGGAGCAGCGACGCGCTTTGCACGCAGTCACCTTCCCAGCGCTGGATTGGGTTGTCCCCTGCGGTTCATCGTGAGCTCGCACAGAGCTTCACTTCAACGTCGGCGCAAGCGGTGACGGTTAGGCGCCTCTCGGCGCACCGTTAGACAGCCTAGATTTAGGAGAGGGAGCAATTCAAACCATAGCACTTTAAAGGCGGAGAATGATCGCCTGTAAACCACGCGACCCCAATCTAGCAGCTGGAAGCACTCCGAACTCTAGGCACACGATGCATCGTTTCCTGGGGAACGTATGCTCCGATGACGGAACGTAAAGGGGTTCCTGTCCGCTTCACCTGCATGATCGAAACCTAATACCCGCGTATCCCGCCGCGAAGCGCAGGTCTGCGACGGGTACGCAATTACGCGGCGGGTTAATGACCCCTCCTGGGGCGACCTCACCGAAGCCTTCACCTAAGGGACGCAATTAGCGGAATTACGGGGGAGAAGGGTCGGGTTATTCGTCGGATCCCCTTTTGTGGAGCCCTTCCCACAGTCCGAAGATTATGTACAAAGTTGTCGCCCATTGTCTCTTTTTTTTTTTTCTCTCTCCTTGTGATAGACAGATTGAGATTACGGGCAAAACTTTCTGAGGTGTCTTATTATCTGAGCTAACGAGACCCACGGTTCCATTTTAGAGAGCGCGTAATTATGTATTTATTTATTTTTTGTAGAGAAGCCAAGGCACTTTGAAAGCTGCTGCGCAACGGCTCTCAGAAGGAATGCTGCATGTAAAACAGCTTTTTTTGTTTTACTATGGTTAGCCGTAGAAGCTATCTGCTCTCGTTCAAAATTTTCGAATTCAGAACTCGGAACTTGAAACTCATTTGGTCTGGGATGAACCTAAGACAACCGACTGTATGAGCTTCTAAATAGGCACTCACTCTCACACACACATGCTCGATGACACTCACCCTCATACTATATATATCACAATCCCTCACACGTACCGAAACACACCACACTCATGCACACGCAATATTCAGACACTTTCCCTCTCTTAAACACGTACACACACTCTCTCCCACAACACTCCCCATGCACACACATCGCCTCTTTCACACAGACTGTTTCACACATTTTGTAACACATGCGCTCTCTTCAACGCAAAAAGACACACAGTCTCGCTCTTTCATATACACCCAATCAGACTCACATACCCTCTCTGCCACAAACGTTCATGCACAAATTAATGAACGTACACGCCTTCTTTTTGATAACATGTTCCCACACAGACACACATCCTATCTCACAGAGACATTTTATCACACGCCCACACACTCCTTCACAGGCAACGTTCCTCTCTCTCGCGCACACACGACCTCCGTCCCTAAAACACTCTCGCGCATACTCTCTTAAGCCGCAGTAACCCATTCATCAAACAAAAGAAATGTCGCTGCAGACATGGCGACATAATTATTAGAGTACACGTCTCAAGTATGTTCCAAACAGGTTCGTTTTATTCCTCAAGTATATAAAAAGAGTTGTTTTAATGACCAATCTTTGTACCGTTTTCTGTATGATGTGTTAGTAGTGCGACCTCGGCTTATCGTACACTCATTCCCGCACACTGTTTTTCTCACACATACTCCGATACACAATCACTTGCGCATTCTTTTTCACAGAGACAGATACACGCAGGGGCATTAACGCGCACCGACTCACGAACGAATAAACGAGCGCCGAGAAACCCTGGCCCGGGCGCGTCCTGGTACCACTACGCGGTCGGGCAGTTTACCGGGGATGATTCGGCGATCGCACTTATCTTGATGGTGATGATCATAGCTACCCTCGTTTAAGGCGGGAGAAGAGCCTGGATAACTAACGGTGCCTTCCGATTGCCCACGGCGGCGGTCGGGTGGCACGCGCGGTTATGGAAATGAAGTTATGTCGGATGTTTGCGTGATTCTGACAGGAACCCGTGCTCGAGGGGGAGGGGGGGGGGGGGGGGGGTGCATAGAAGCGAAGCAACAAATAATATTCTGCAAAAACAACGGGTATGTTTATTTATACTTGATTTGTGCGCGGTCTGCTCCAAGGGATTAGTTTATAATGAAGGTAAATCGTGGAAGCAGTGATTTCGTTGCTTGTTTGCGTCCGCATTTAGTTTCGGACGCGCGAACTTTTCCAGCGGATGCGGAGTTATGCCGGGCAACGAGGAATAAAACGTTCGTAACGACGTTAACGTTGCTTGTGCGGCACAGGTTACTGGCAGAAATATAATCGATTTCAATTACGGTTTTTCGCGCTCCGAAAGTATTCGCTTATTTGAGTGGATTAGTTCAAAACTTAATCGTCCTTTTCCCATCGGCCTTCACCTTACCGAGGGAATTAGAAAATCCCACCTGTGACACTCTGTTCATGCTTTAACGGCCGTAGCAGGAATCGTTCTGGGTGCGACCACGAGGTTTTGCACTTTCCAGCGACTAGTGGCGGTGCAGCAGCTTTAACAAAGCGCACTTTGTGCCTGCCAGACTTCCAAAAAAGAAAGGCGACTAATACGAAACTTTAACAAACTGAGATCGAAATACTGGTCATAATAGAAGTATGTAAAGAAAACACCCTTTCTTGTTCGCAGGTGAGGCTCTGTTTTGCACGGGCAAAGAGTTCGCTGTGTAAGAACGCAACGCCCTACAAATATTCTCTCACTCGTAGCGTGTCACGTGCTCTTTCGTAAATAAGAGGAGGTTAACTGCTTCGGTTCGAACACCCTTTGGAGGAAGAAATACCGAGGTAGTCAAACACAACACGTCGGGCCGCTAGAAAACAACTGACAAGTCTGTTTCATTGTAATGACTACGGCGACGACCCCTCGGACTGTTTCCGACTAAATCCGCGAGGTGGCAACTACGTCGCTGAAAAGTTGGCTAGATGGCGTTGGTCGCCGCCTGATTCCAACAGTTCGGCAGGAATAATTCATTCATAACTGCTATGATTCGGCGACTGTATTGCTACGGTGCCTGGAATGCGTCTACGACTGGTGCGTTTACCGTCCCCTACCGCTCCCGCGTCGAAGGTGGTCCCAAAATGGCATCAAATGAGATCCCACAAGCTGCCGCGTCATGTTGTCTCGAATGACGCAGTCTTGGGGGTTGTACGGAGAAGTTCTGGCAAAAAGTAGGAGCGAACGCGCTTGTCGCTGTAGTCGCTGCGTCTTAACTCCTGGCTGCAAAGTCTCACTACAACCATGCAGTACAGCCAAGGCTACAGGGGAGAGAGCCTCTGCCAACCTGTTCAAGAGGAGGGAAAGGCGTCATCCCAGTCGGGTGGTGCTAACTTGGCTATTGGGCCCGAGCCCGACCTTCGACGCGCTGATTGAAAACAGGAGCTCCAGCCGAACACTGACACAACACTCGTGCCCAATCACGGGCTGCGATCGAACTGACTCTGATGACGCGTGTGCAGACCTCGTGTCTAGGTGGTGCTGGCCATAGCAGTCGGAGACACGTTCCAGGCGCCGTACTATTTATTACTTCTGCCGCCCTAAACTCGTCAAACACAAAGTTGGGGCCGAAGTTGACGGAGCGCGCCGATTGGACAGTTACGACGATGACTTCGCGTTTATGTCGCCGACGTCCAATCAGCGCACTCTGCGAACTTTCGGCTCCAGCTTTGTGTTCGACAAGTTTAGGGCCCCTGGAGTGGGCAATCGATGGTCTGACTCACGTCTGCTCTGGAGCACCAGCGTGCTGTCTCTGGCGAGCGCAAGCTCAGACCCGGTGAAGGTGGCGTCGGAGCGGTTCTCGTCGTCCTCGTCCTCTTCCAAGTCTACGTCTTCGTCCGGAGACTCCGAGCCGGACGAGGAGAGACCCGCGGCCGACGGGCCGTTGCCGCCACCACCGCCGACACGGCTCTTACGGTCTCCGGAGCACTACGGACACAAAAGAAAGCGACATTTCACTCAATGAGCTTCAATAGCGGCACGAGACAAGCGAGAGAAACGCCGTCTCCTTACTTACACGGTGAAAAAGCGTTCAAAATGCGTCATTGGCGATTTAGAACGCCAGGAGGGGCAGTCATGGGGAAACGTCGAAAACGCGCAGAAACAAACGCGATGACGAAGCAGCCGAGCGCTCGCCTTCATTGGATGAGGTCGAGGGGCAAACGAAGGCACGTGGGCGCGCTTGGCGGGTAACAACATCACCAGCTGTGCACGGAACATACAAACTTGCATATTAGCGGCGAGATGTTTTAGTGGCGCCCTCCTACGGTTCCCCCTCGTGACGTCATTACCTTGCAAACAACAAGTTCGATGGTGTTTGTAAATAGCATGGTGGAAGCTTGAAATCATTGCGCTCTGAAAGGAAGACTGCCAACACCGTCAAAATGAAAGTTCTTTCATTCCTCTTATTTCGGTCGATAATAAATCCTTTTCGGAAGTCATAGTCAGCGTTCGGCCAATCGTGGAAGGCCGACCACAGCGACGCTTTCGGTCGCGCACGTCGCCAATAGACCATTGGCTGCGATTGGTCATTGGACCAATCGCTGCATTCTCCGTGATGCTTGGGTAATATAGCAATAGGTCTATAGGAGGTATTCACTGGACGCCATATTTGAGGGCGATGTTTAGAGCACATGCTCAGAACGAGCTCACATTAATAAAGACCGGCAACCTTGATGGTGCTAAATGCACGCCCCAAAAGGACTGCGGAAGCTCGCTGTCAGCACGCGCTCAGCAGCAGCGCACACGGATATGGCCGCCAGTGGATACTCCCTATAGACAATTGCAAGCATGGCGCCCCACTTGTGCCCCATGCGTGAAAGCCCGTGGGGCGCGCGCGTGATCATAGCTTTGCCAAGCTTGAAATTGCGCCTGCTTTCCCGCACGAGCCAAGACATGGCGGCTTCCAGTTGCCTTGCTTGCAATCGTCTATAGGAAGTATAGCTTATCTACAGTAGGTAACAATGTCGCCATGTTCTGGCAGACTAACCTCCTGCTGTATAAACAACTAATGACTAATTTGACTGGACACCATATTTGAGGGTGCTGTTTAGAGCGCATGCTCTGATCGAGCCCACATTAGTAGGCTGCTAATTAAGACCGGCAATCTTGATGCTGTAAAGTGCACGTTGTAAAAGAAGTGCGGAAGCTCGACATTAGCACACGCTCAGTATTTCCGCACGCAGCTATGGCCGCCAGTGAATACTAGCAATATAGACATTTTCACCCAGAGTCTTGTGGGCGCTGCCATCCGGAAATCATGTGACGTGGCCGCCATTAGGTTACTCTTACTCGCCGGTCCGCGCTTCCTGCCGCACCCTTGCGGATGCGTTGTTTTCGTATTTTTGCCGCCTCTTGTCTTACTCCGTAAGCTATAGTCGGTACATGCATCTATGAACTAAATGCGTAACATCATAATGAGCGCAACTTCTGCAGTTGTTCTTTTTTTTCGCGCGATTTGTCTATTTTTATTGTAGGCACAGCGAATGCGTGTAAGAATGAGGCACAGGAATAAGGTTTAGTGCTGAGCCACATTGATTGATTATACAATGTGTCACGAAAAAATATTCGCAGGTTTGTTTCTACCTCAAAAATGAACTAGGCATCGCCGAACGCCCATTCTCCGCCCGAAGGTAGCGCTAGAGGTCACAACCAGATGCCGAAGATCTGCGATGCTTAATTTATTTTTGCAATAAAAAAAAACACACAAAAAACTATTTTTTTTTTGTGACACCCTGTATATGTAGATGACTAATACAGCACGGGGGTTAAAAAGGTAAGTTACCTTTAGCAACTTAAGTTTGTTTTCTAACAGTGGCGGAACATTCGCAATTAGAAGCGCATATATTTATAATCGCGCATTTAGGATCAAAAAGTGTCAAGGAAGGTCGGTGTAAGGAGACTCTGGGTTTTCTAAAAGCATCGTCCGGTTGTACTTATAATAAATCGAAAACAGTTTCTTTCGATTTTGTGAGGGAGCTCGTGGACATCAGAGGCAACAAACGTATACACCAACTCAACTCTCCTACGTCACGCCGCGGTGGTGGCGCGCCGGACGCACTTCCGGTCTGTGGCGGTGGGCAGAAGTCGCCTTGCCAGACATGCATTCCTGTGTTCCCTTGGAAGAAACGAGACAAAAAACCTGCTTTCTCGTCAAAATGCTGCGACGGGGGTTGTACCAAGAGAGTCTGGAAAGGTTTGAAGATCAGTTTTCATGTGTTTTTGCCCCCTCCGTTCGTCCGAGAACGTGGATAGTAGCCGTGAAAAGGGCAAACCAGACGCTGTCGAACTACGATTGCGCGCACGGGCAACAGTTTCTGGTCTCCAGATGTATTTGCTTTGTTCCAACATAAACGAGAGAAAACCGCCAAGTTGTCCGAACCACCCACGGGTTCTGTGCATCTTCAAATTCACACGGCCGCCTGATCGTTCGAACTTTCGTCTGCTCTTTCAAAAGTCTGCTTTTTGTCGTCTGCTCGTTCAAACAAAAGCGGCCCGTAGACCAAACTTTGACCCGGTGATTGCAATAAGAAGTAATTGCAGACCTCAAAAGACTTAAGTAGGCTCGGTGTAAAAAGTAGATACAAGATGTCGATCATTGGTACCGGTGGTCATCACCGACTTGTTACGCTTGGCCTGTTCCCGCTTCCGATTTTCAGTATCGACGTCGATCATCGCCGCTACCTTCTACACTTTTGCAACACGAGCGACGTCGCTACCGAAAATAGCTGGAAGAATTTCATCATGGTTTTGGCTTCCATTCTGCGGCGTTCATGCGAATGAATCGCCGCACGTCAAATTATTTACGGAAAGTTTAGCGGCGTAACGAGCCTTGATAATTTCGCTTAAGCGATTAAAGTGGTAAGACATTGCGATGAGGACGTAGAATCGACAATTCCAACGCGAAAAAGAGTAGGCAGACTCACACAGACGCCGACAACGTGACATTCGAGTGGTTTGTTGACGCGGGACGCGGTGCTTCTTGCCCGTACCCCATTACGCATGCGTTCGAACTGTCGTCTGCTCTTTTAAACTTGGCTGCTTTTTGTCGTCAGCTCGTTCGAACGACAGCGGCCCGGAAACCAAACGTTGACCCGGTAATTGCGATAAGAACTAAGTGCAGGCCTCAAAACACTTTTGAAGGTTGGTTGGGGTAAGTAGGCTAAGTGTAAACAGATAGAAGACGTTTATCATTATTGTTACCAGTGGCCATCACCGACTTGTAATGCCCGATTCTACTTGCGGTTTTCAGTATCGACGTCCACCATCTCAGCTACGGTCCACGCATTTGCAGTCCGAGCAACGTCGCGTCTGAAAACAGCGAGCAGAATCTCATCGTGGGAGTCAGGCTTTAGCGCCCATTCTGCGGCGTCCACGTGAAATGAATCGGCGCACGTCACATTATTCACGCAAAGTTTTGCCTCGTTAGTTTTGCTGAAGCCGCTCAAGTAGTCAGACATTGTTAGGAGGACGTAGCATCAACAATTCCAACGCGAAAAAGAGCACGGGGACTCCCGCCGACGCCGACAACAACGCAATTCAATGGTTTGATTATGGGCGACGGCGGGCTTCTTGCCCACCATCCACCGCGCATGCGCGGCGCCGGTGGCGTCCGCTAGGGGCGCTCCGGTTTGTTTGTAAACATGAGTTGGTGTATAGACGCTTTACACACGCGCCAGATTCAGCCGCCATTGCCGACCTTCTCTTGTCTTACCGAGATGTCCTGCTGTGGTAATGATGAGGTGAAGCGAACGAAATAAGAGTAAACAAAAACTGAAGGTCGGTTATGGCGGCGCCCATGCACAGCTGCTGTAAAGCGCCTATAACGTGCATCTTATCCGATGCTAGGAATAATGATACGTCAACATGGAGGCGACTGGTTTGTTCATAATATGTGTTAGACGTTTTCAATCATTTTTGCGATGTCAACACTCGACTGGTCGGTTAACTTATGCATTTTAATAAACTGCATGCCGTTCTCGGTTCCATTTCAGGAGTATTTCAGGCGATTTATCGATTTTCTTTAGATGACCAGTTGAATGCACTTACTTCGTTTTAACACAAAGGTTGGGACTTCCCGCGTAGGAAACTCTCACGGACAGCCTAAGAGTACCGAGTTTTAGAATAGCGTACGCAAAATCTTTGAATACGCAAAAACACAGAATCGTCTTTATACGAAGATGGTTGAGCGTGTTGGTTATTAATTTACGATAAGGAAAGAGGAACATTGTCTTAAATGTCCCTCTTTCCTTATCGTAGTCCCCATACCCTAGTCCAAAACATGGTTTGGACTAGATGCATGCCCAGTAGTGACGACGCTTTATTCTTCTTTTTTTTGCGCGCAAATATTCGCTTACGTGGTTCCAACTGTCGCCAGTGTCTGGAGTCCGCAATATTTGACGTGAAAAAAAAAAAGTCGCCTGCATAAATATCACACGAGTCCAGCGTTGTCAATGCCGAATAGAAGTTTGCTTTTAGTGGCTGGCGACGCCAAAATTACAAAGTTCATCTGTTCTAACAAATTAAGATACGTTTACAAAGTTCCATGAAGTCCATGGCGCGAGACGCCGGGAAAACCATGCAAGACAAGGTCAACGTTTGTTATCTATTATATAACAAAGGTTGACATTGTGACGTCGGTGGTCGGTGGTTAGGTTGTGGGTATATACGACATCGAGGAAATAAAGGCAGTAGCTGAGTTTGAGACATTTTTTTCCCCTGTCCTTCTTCTTCGACCAAGTTTCCCTGCTTTTACCACAGTCTCGGGTTTTCTACATCATGATCAACATCCACCAGCTCGCCTGCGCATTCACTGTTTTTTTATTTCTTCTAGATCGCAGCAGGTAGATTTGATCTCACTCGCAAGTTCTGCAACAACCTTACTCTTGTTAAAGGGATACTGAACCGAAATTTCGAGCTCACTAAACAAGGCCGGGCGGATAGGCGGGAAGCTGCAAAACCCCAAAAATATCACTCATACGGCGATATATCTAACGGATCGCCGTAGTTTTTGGAAAAGAAGTGCGCGATTGAACCCGGCCGACGAGTCCGACGAGCCAAGGCACGTCACGATTCCCATTCTCCCTCCTCCTCGCCACGTCCCGTCCAGCTGGTGAACCAAAGCGACGAGGAGAGAAAAGAGGCCGCTTCTCCTCATTCTCAAATTCTCCCGGAGGACAGTTACGTCAAAGAACTCGCTTGATCGCGCCCTTCTTTTCCAAAGTGCGGTCATCCGTTTGAGATATCGATGTACGAGTGATGTTTTGGAGTTCGTAGCGTCCCGTTCAACACTTCTGCAGCCTTACTTTGCGAAATCCAAATTTCGGTTCAGTATCCATGCAGTTCCAAGGCTAGCTCATATCTGGCGCCAGCGTACCAACGTCTTCTCTACAGAGCCTGGATTGTAGAGTGGGTCCACCTCAAATCATGAGGAGCGTTTGCATTTCAATGGCGGACGCCTCCGGCAGAGATTGGTCGCAAGTGCGATTGTGCTGCGGCTTTCGCGTGGCGAGGAGGAAAGCAGGCGGAAAGGCGGAAACGATCGCAGACGACCAACGCGTTCGTCACCTCCTCGCAGCTCGTACTGCAAACGCCGCCCATAAACCGCCTACCCCGATCGTGCTGTGAACTGGACAATGCATTCGGTTATAACAAAACGTAAGGGTGTACCAGTCTTTAGTCTGGTAGGCCTGTCGACTGTTCTTGGAATCCGGAATAAGTGTCTGATAATAGAGTACCTCCGATGCCCTTGAGACCGATACGCGATAACGATACGAGGAATGCGCAACGGCATTCGTTATCGGGTGTCGTTATCGGAGTCATCGGAAGGAATCACTAAAGTTTTCCATTGCCCGTTATAAAATCAAATATGAAGCGACCGTCCACAAGAAGCGGCAAGTTGGAGATGTGCTCTCACCTGGTGCGACAGGATGGGCAACTGCGACCTCCTCGGCTGACGGGGGTCGGCCGGCACCGGCTGGAGGGACGAGTACTGGCGGAGGGTCGGGGGGGCCAAGATCCAAGGCCGGAACCCCCGGAGTGGGTCCTGCTGGGTGTCGATGTTGCCGCCGGGCCCCGCCGGGCCCTCGGGGTCTGCGCCGCCCGACAGCCGACACCCGGACGACGCGCCTGCAGGCGAGAGACACGGTCATCCTCGAGCCTCCGGGTCTCACCAGAGAAACATTCGACAAACAATGTCGGCAGACATACATCATCGAGAGTGTTAGCATCAGGCTTGTACGTAAAAGAGTTACAAAAAGGCCTTACTTATATCTAAATACTTCTTTTTTGGTAACGACGAACCTGTACATGTTGGCACATCAAGAAAACAGCAAGTTTTGCGCAGTGCTCATACGCGGCGCAAAGTATTTCTTAACAGATTTGACTGCTGGAGCAAGAAACGACGCTTTCGTCGTTTTAAACGTGTACGACTCGATAAAATAACAGTCAATTTAAATGCACCTACAATATCTTAATTCACCGCATAAAAGGAGAAATTAGTAATGGTCCACGCGAAGCCGAGCTTTTTAAACTACGGTTCTTGAGATGAGCACAAGTATAGTTGCTTTTACAAGACTAGGAACGAGTAACGCGTTCTCTTTAAAGTTTAAAAAAGTAACGATTAACGGTATTTATTTCCTTCCGAAGGGAAACTTCTACGATGCAAGTACCCAACCTAGGTCCTCGCCCCAGCTCGCGCCTCTCATTTCGACAGCGATAAAACGAGCCATAGACCATGAAAATATGTGGACCAGATATGTCAGTATAGCCACCTTGAATGAACGCGCTAAAGAAATGGAAGCGGCTACTGCTTCATAAAAACGACACATTCAGGGCAACGAGAAAACAACACGTTACTGTCAGGCGGAGGTAGCACGTTCCCCAGCTTGAAAGGGAAACATACTTGGAATCTAAACGCCGAGACAAGGAGAAATAAAATAACGGACAAGGCGACACGTACTTAGGTATAGTATTTTTTTCCAGAGAGTAACGAATAACGGCATTTAGTTATTTTTGTATCAGTAACCCGTATATGCCTGGTTAGCGCACCGCAGCCTACGCTGCGAAACCCAGGGATCCTGGGTTCAGTCCCCTGCCCTGCCCGTTTTTATCTGGATGAGCGTCGTATCCCTGGGTGCGGTCGTGTATCACTACTGCGTGATGCGGGACCCCAGGATAGCAGCTGTACATCGACAGTGGAGACCCCATGCAGACGCTCGTTGTGGCTCACTATAGACCTTTCTCACAAAGGCACCGCCATCTTGAAATATCGTCACTTCCAGTACGGGCGTTGCCACGCCAATAGAATGCATTTAGGATATAGGCGAAACCGTCACCCATTCCAGTTTTGCCTCCCCTCTATTTTTTTCTTTTCTTTCTTATTTGCAGATTGAAATGTTTTAATATTTTTCCGTCGCCCATACCGGATATGCCTACCTGGCGGTCCGGAGCGAGAGTATGCGAAAACGGTCTATACTTCCCCGCTGTCTTACACAACACAACACTTCTTCCGATTTTGCCAGTTTCGCTACGAATGAGAATCGTACCGGCGTGCATGTGCGCGATGATCACTACCACGTGACGGCCGCTGAAGATTCCAAGCTAGCGTGAGGAACTGGCCCTTCTTCTCCAGAGAGCACATCGCGAGAACCGGGTGAAGTAGCTAAAGAATGCTCTCGTATTCAAAATCTCGGTGCGTATAAAACATGGCCACCTATACGTATATACGGACTGTTTCGTAGCGATTGAAGAAAGTTTCCAAATAAGTTCGGAAAAAGAAAAAAAGAAGAGGCAGTGGTCGTCACAACCTTCTAGAAAGAGGGGGAGAGAGATGCCTCTAGCACGCCTTGGTCGCCTTCCGGCGTGCTTCGTCTGCGCGGGTACGCTCGAGGCTCACGAGACGCTGAAGCATCATCGAAGCTACGAAGCTCGCCCAGGACAACTGCCAATACTCTAATTCTCTCTTTAAGCTCTTACCTTACGCGTTCGGACTTCATTCGACATTATTCAGAGAAGACGAAAATGCTCCAAAAAGCTTCACAGTTTTGTTATATATTGAAAATAATTTTAAAAAAAGAGGATTTAGTAAAGAACGAGAGGGAGAAAGAAAGAGGATAGAGGGAAAAAAGCAGAGTGCACACCGGAAATTTAAAGAAAAAAAAAAGATAATACGGTCTCCGAGTAGCACACGACGTTTCCCGCTGCGCAGCAGACGCGGTGCTCGCACCAGCCGGCACGGCACGCGCAGTTCTCCATCTATCTCCAAGCTGTTTCCTTTGTACCGGGATTTTGCTTCATACCGAAGAAAGCATTCAATCGAAACAATCACAATCTCCCTGGCCGGCCCAATTAAAGCACAAAAGCCGGAATAATGCCCCCCACCCGCCCAAACTCAATCGAATTACACTTTGTCTTTCGCGCGCGCGTACGCGAGCGCTCTACAAAGAACCGTTTGTTGATTTTTGTTTCTCCTTGTTTCTTTACTACGCTCCGTGTTCTTTTTTTTTTTCTTTTTTTAGTTTTACACCGCCTTTTCTTTTTTTTGTTAGGAGGCGTGCGCTTTTTCTTGCGCACCGAGTTCGTTATCCAAATGGCCTTTACGTAAAGTCTGCGAACAAAGGAAGCCGCCTCGAACTTTAGATAACGAACCCGACGGACGGAATCGTCGAAGACGCGTCGCTCCAGAGAAAGTATTTCCGTGGTTCCCGAGCAGGGTTGAAAAATACGACACTTTCTTGTTTAGGTACAACTCTTTCTCGTTTCAGCGAATCGCCGTCTTCCTTTCGGCGCTTTATGAATTAGAAAGCTTCAAATGATTGCAACGGAGGCAGTCTCCCGTTCCAGGCACGTATTTGGCGAAAGAACCAGAACGTTCCAGAAGTTCGTTGTAAAAAAAAAAAAAAAATTCGTTATACAAGAAATATTTGTTATAAGGGAAAAAATAGTTATACGAGGAAAATTCGGTTTAACAAAAAACTTCGTTAGAGACAATCTGGAATAAACAAAACGCTCGTTTATAAGTGAAAAATGCGTTATCGAGAAAATCGTTATAAAAAAAATCACTGAGCGTGCTCTCCCGTAAATCCTGGCTACGTGCCCGCCCGAGGTCATTTGTCAGCAACGCAGGCTTTGCGTGGCTTAGCCATAGTTACTCTCACTGGGTTGGAACCTCAGCGAGAAATGGAAGGCTGCTCCTTGCCTGACCATAGTTTTATGCTCACAGCGCCTAAAGCTCGACCTAGTAGAGGTGTCGCGCTTCCTCGCTTTCGACAGTTGAATGATTAACTGACGAGAACGGTGGGGATGTATTGTAGTTGCCCGGTGTCCAGGGCGAGCTTCCTGCCTTCGATAATGCTTCGGTTCCTCGTGAGCCTCGAGCGTAGGCGCGCAGCCGAAGCACGCCGGAAGGCGAAGAGCACGTGCTGGAAGCATCCCAACGAGACGCCGTCCTCACCGTTCTCCCCTGTCAGCGACGAAACGAACGTCGACTTCGATACTTTGCAGCCCCGATGTCGATGTCTGTTCGCGTCCCCGTGACAAAATTATACGTCATTGGTGGGCGCCTCACGAGCGTGGACAGGTAATTGAGGAGACGTAAATTGAAGTGTCCAGAGAGGAACAAGGGGCGGGCATTATGCTCCTCCGTCCACCCCCGAACTGACAGTGTGGTCGAAGCTACGTGCCCGTTGGACCAATCGTACGTCTATCTTTTGGCACGTGATCACGCTCTCGCCCATACCCACGCGCGGAGGGCGGCGTCAGGCGACGAAAGGGTGGCGGTGAGTTAGAATGGCTAGCACGGAGCTCCCGCAGTACTGTCAGTTTAGGGGTAAACAGAGTACAGTGGAAGCGTAGGCGGGAACGCCGGGGATCAAAGGTGTATTGTCAACCGAGCCTGGGTATCGAGTTTAGGCGTGAATTGACGCGATCTAATAGGCTTAAGCTCAACTTTGTACACAGTCGACGCCCGCGCGCTACGGAGTGTGCATTATGAACGTACGCGTGTAGTCGACAGATCCTTTTCATCCCTTTCTAAAAGGGGCATGCTACGAACCGTGAACAGACCTTCCAGCCCAGGTCTTAAGTCCTTAACACCAAGTTCAACAAGGAGGGTATCTAGTCTACACGAGTCATCGCAAGCACGACGAGCACGAATGAGATTAGTTTCTTTCGATTCAACGCAGTGAAAGGGATACTGAACCAGACGTTGCAGTGTCCAAAATAAGTGGCGCACGATCTTTCCACGAGCCGGCAGCCGCCGTTATGTGCGAGCACTCGCAACGAAATTGACGTCCTAGGCCTCACGCTGAAGATGAAAGTGAAACGCATGGTATACGGACAAAAGGACAATCCCACAGGTGGAAGCTCCGTGCTTGTTCGGCCAAATAGTCGCTTACCTTTTACACCAGACCCCACTGTGGAGGTGAAAAGCTTGCGTTATTCTGATTTTCCCTGGAGCCCACACATTTCGATGTTATCTGAACCATGAACTGTGACGTCGAATTCGTTGCGTGTGTTCGAGCACACCGGCGGCTCCTGGCTCGTGGAAAGCTCGCACGGCACTTGTTATGGTTATGAATACTGGAACGTTTGGTTCAGCCTCCCTTTAAAGCTTCTGCGCCTTTCAATAATGTCTCTATGAAAAAGTAACGCGATTCACTGTTCAAAATGTTGCCCCTAGGCCGACGACTTCGCTCAAAAATGACGTCGAGCAGCCAGGGAAAGAGAGGCTGGGAGAGAGGAAAGAGCGCTGATTCCCCGTTTACAGGGGTTTTGCGATGACGAATTTGAACAAGGGAATTACGTAACTAATCATTTGAGCTTTTTTTCTTGCCATTTGCTTTCTTGAAGAAAAAAATTGAAAAAATAAAATAACACGAGGGGTGCGCAGGAAGCGTTCATGTGACAAATGAAGTGGTACTAAAAAATGAGGGTCAATGTTAAGAGACTCCATCAAGACGGCCGTTATATGAACTTGTTGAAAATGCAACATGTTTGCTACATATCGCAGGCAAGCAAGGAAAAGGGGCAAACAGGAACTAAATTTCAAAATGAAGGAAAAGAAGCTTTACTGGAATACGCACGTGCATTACTGAGTGCTGCTTTCTATGTGTACAGTTTAAGATGGC